CTTTATCCTCCAGCGACCTCTACCGTTTCATCTTATTCTTTCGATTACCACTTTNCTGAATTCTCTTCGAAAATCGCGTAGTGCCCACAGTATGAAGGGAAAGGTTTGAACTTTCGGTAATACGGTAATCGGAAGCACTGCCGTTGGTGATTCAGGATTCGGGGAGAAGTATTGCCACCCCATAGATATGAGGAGACATTAGGCAGCCTTATTCGCCCACCTGCTCTCAGGGTCTGTTTGGCAGTGAATTCCCGCTTCTAAGGTGGTAGCCTAAGGGTGAAATCCAGAACGGTTTATTTGTTATTCATTTTGGTGAGATCGCACGCGGCACGATCGTGCTAGGTTACTGTGCCTGCTATGTGATTGAGATATCAGATATTACTATTATCACCTGGTATCACGTATTTCTATTATTGGCCCATTATTGATTAAAAAAATCGGGTTGGCCGCCTGCTGCATGTCCTTGAGAATTCATAGTCTTCCCATATTACTTGAGAGACGATGATTAACACCATCCCACTTATTATTACTTTCCTCACCACCATATAAAGAAATTCTCTTACCGAGTTATCACAAAGCTGATATCCGATTCCGTATTTATCGGAGTAATCAACCCATTTGCTGATCCAGAATATGGGCATGGCTTCAGGTGCTTCATCTTCCACTCGTAGCTCCCTCTGGAAAGGTCAGGGTATCAAATCTTCGAGTTTTGTATTTGTTTTGAAATTTGTGCTACTTACATCAGCAACTCGCGCATTACACAGTGAAGATATCTGTTCGTACAGCTCCGATAGGTAACCATCATCCGGCACTTTAACAGCACCGAAGCCTAAACAAATATACATGTAAGAAGAAACGCGAACTACACCAAGTGCTTGACCAACCTTTGTCGATACGTTCCCCATCGAGAGCCTTGTTTTCGGGAACAGCGTTCAGAGCGCGTGCATGGCCAGTCATGAGGTCTTGTCTAAGTAGAAATATGATAGAGCACATCCAATAAAACAGAATGTTAACGTACTTCACCAACTGCTTAGGACTAAGCACGCCCGCGGGGACTCCACGTTTGTCGGTAGTAGCGGGAAGGCCGACCTTAACAATGTGTTAGTAGTCAATATGGAGTTTTCATTATAGGTCTCGTCGCGAACCTCGCTATGACGGTTGAACTTCGGTGCCATAGTTAGGCAGGAAATTGGAAGTCGGGTTGGCATATAACCAGAACGGAAAAAGTCATGCGCTAGCACCTGTCGAAACACACGTATTGGAAAACAAAGTCATTGTTGATACCAGAAAGATAAACAATTCAATCATTCAAAAAATTTCATTGGGTGAAATCCTTTCATAAAAAGGATAAGATGAACCACACGGTAAGCACTCTAAAAATCAATGGCAGCTTTCAAGGAAAAAGGAGCCCAGACTTATTCAAGACTACTCGAACATATAAAAATGCGGACCATACCTGCTTAACAGTAGGCCGCTTCGCAGGGTCAGCAGCTAAAAGATTTTGAATCAGATGACTGACAGTTTGCCCAGCGGATGATGGAACTCGATACTGATTCATTTTTATACGGCTGTAGGTCTCCTATAAAACAGATTTCTTGCATTCATCACCGCTACACAAGACGATGCAGGTATTACAAATGTGCTCCCAACCTTACTTCGCAATGATCCAATTTGCTTCATGTAGCAGCCCTATTTTACCGAGGCGCATATGAGTTTGGAAGAGTCGGGGGCGTCATAAGTGATGGATGCGAATGAAGTGGAAAGGAAGGAATGGCGAAGCTGGTGTGCAGGGAAATCGTACAATACTCCTTAGACGGTGAGAGCTAGAAGGGCTTTTTTGAAAGGCAAAAGAGCAAGGTTGGGTGGACGCTCTCTACTCATGAAGCATAACATTTCGTTACTTGAGAAATCGGAGTACATGTGCCAAAATATCTATGTATCAGGAATCAGCCACATACAAGTTAGTGCATCTTTCCCGAAAAAATCTTAACGTATATCAAAAACCCTTGAAAAGGCAATAAATTAAATAAATAAATGGAATTGAACGAATTTGAATAGAAAATATAGGAAGGAGGGCAATTTGGAATGTAGCGTTCACAGAACTAAATACAGATAAATCATAGATGATGCAACCATTCAAAATCCACCTTACCTCCACCTTCTAGAAAAAAGCTGATTGAAAAAGGCTGGGAAATGATAAAACAAAGAATTGCCGGGCGTCTGCAGCACATATCCTACTGTAGATAGAAAAACGTGTTGTGTATTAGCCTTATCTGCAAGATCAGGATAGGAGGCTAACTTCATGGAAAGCGATGAATTAAAAGCGCATTTCAAATCGCACGGTGCTACATGTTCGGTATGAATGTTTGTCGTGAATTTCATTACTCCTGCTCCCGTGGATCTAAGACGTTCAAACTTGTATGGTTGCAAGTTGCAGAACGGGAACAGGCATGTATGTAATGGGGCGAGACTCCGGCCAGGGGTAGAGTACGCAAACAGCTAGAGCGCATGAAAAATGGAAGGGTTAAGGGCGACAAGATGGGAACATGACGATAGGTGTTAGAAGAGGAGGACGGGGGAAGGGGAGGGGGACGAGGAGGAGCTAGCGTATGCAAAATGAGATTCATAAGTGTATGAATGAGCAACCGAATCAGTATAAGTAGGAGATGCCTTTCTTCCTGAACACATATGACTTGCGCGAGTAAAGGTTGAGAATTTCTGCAAGCATGACATTCTTGTTAATCATCCTATGGTAGGTTGGTCAGACACCGAAAAGGGCAGAGCTGGGCTCAAAATCTGTATTAGTTCAAACACGTTCTAAAGAAGCAACAGGAATAGAGACAAGCAGTAGAAAAGACATGAGAGGTAGAGTGGGGTAGTGTGAGGAACAAGGATCCAAAGTTGACAAATTGTCTAAAAGCGTTACACATTATGCGTCGTTTACACACAGCTTTGCTCCTTTTCGACTTAGAGCTTTGACATAAAGTAGGATTTACGTTATAGGGGTATTGGCCAATATACCGCTTCACCATACCTATCTAGCTAGAAAATGTGGCAACGGTTATGGTAGGAACAGAATTACCTCAAACAACACAACACAACAGGGTCATAGAATGCTCTAAAATTAATTCAATGCGAAACTTAATCTCACGAGACCTCACCCACACCACTACTTCATGGCACCGTTGTGAGAGCCCGAATATTACTCTTCTCATTTTCGATGAGGCACTCTAAAAACGCCTTCAAAACTCTGTTCTGAGAATGGGAGTGCAGTTTACAAAGCAGATTAGGGATCAGCTTTAGAAAAAAGGCTGACGGTATAAGTCACATGTCGAATGGCTTCGTCGACCTGGAACTATTCCTCTGTGGAAATGCACTAGGAAAGGAAGTGTCCGGGAGAGCTAGTTCGAAATGAGGTGAGTGAGAAATATTGAAGATGAATCGGAAAGGCATGTTTCAATGAATATCACGCAAGCACAAAAGAGCGTGAGCATTCATAATCATATACCATAGTGAAATTGAAATAATAAAAACAGTGTAAGAGCGTCTAATTATAAATCTTTGGGCGGCGATTTTCTGTATGTCTTATTTTTTCTGCACGCATAAATAAAACCTACCTTTAACGACTTTGTTTCAAAAGGAGGGCGTCCAAAAAGCAACGTGTACAGAATACAACCAATCGCCCATATGTCAACTTCGAAGGAATGTCCTTTTTTATCGAGTACTTCGGCTGTAAAACCAGTGAATTTTTACCGTAACTAGCAGCAGTAATGCTGTAGATCGTGCAAAACTTACGAGCTATGTAATTTGGTGTACCGCACAACGTCTTCTTACGTTCTCCTTCCATATCTACCGTAGTTGCAAGTCCAAAATCACCTATTTTTACCTAAAACTCCTTTAAAACTACATCTGCGTATATTCGGCATATTTCCGAAAACTAATTCGAAAGGATCATCACAAACCTGAAGATCGCCATTCAAAAACAGATTTCCCAATTTCAAATCCCGGTGAATTACTTTTTTGTCATGGAGGTAGTCAACTGCTAGACACACCTTAAGAAGGAGGAATTTCCAGAAAAAGACAACTCGGAGCTGCAGAAACGTTCAGATCATGGCAATGGTCAGTACAGCACATACCTGGTGTGTGAAATATCGTGCTTCTGGTTCTGTGACTGATCTTCGTCTCTTGTGCAGTTCCATAAGCGATCTACGGGCACATAATTCCAAAGTTATGTAAACATTATCATGATCTTCGAAGAAATTGTATAATTGCACCACATGCGGATGGCTCAAGTTACGATGAATATGTACTTCTTGTGTCATCTACAAATAATGAAAGGGGTAATAAAAAAATCTCTTTAGTTTTCCATAAGTAGGCCAACCTTTTCTCGCTGATACGGCTTCATGAGCAACGTCTTCGAAACAATCTTGCCTGCGAACACCTCGTTTGTTGCTGCATTGGTGAGCTCATAACATCTAGCGAAGCCACCTTTGCCAAGAAATTTCCCTCTTATATAAGTGATGCCGCGTTCTTTGTCAACTATCCGCTCCGGAACTTCCTTCAATGGAGCTTTGTCCATTCTAGGCACTTCGTTTCTCTGTAAACTTTCTGCTATATACTTGCAATATTCCGCTTTAGGTCCGTAGAATAAAGTTTTACAATACTTTGTAAAATTGAGAGCTGCGAGTGTTGAAACGCGTAAAAATTTACAACAAAGTAAGATCCTTTGAACAGTATAAGTCCTTAGAAGTCTTGAGAGATTTTTTTATGAAATGTTTGAATTCCAGTAGACGTTCATCTCAAGGAAGTTACCGATCAATTCATCAGATAGATCAGTACGAAAGAGACAAATAAGTTTTTTTTTTCATTTGGAAATACCTATCAGGACAGAACGAGGGCGTACTTTTTTACCAACCACACTTTGTAAAGAATTGTCGAGGTTATCCAAGTTCAATTCCTTACAATGATCACCTACTCCAATGAGAGTGGGAAAGAATAGAGAAGAATATATGATAGCAAGTTGCATCCTGATTTTGAAGACTGGGTGAGATGAGAAACTAGACTATTGAAGAATGAGGGGCCATGTTTCCAAAAACAAAAACCGAGAGGAACGAGAAGTCGTGGATGACGAATTTCCAACTTTATTCAAGCTACACTTCTAACGCGGGTACAAAGTTCTTCATCCTTTAGCATGTTCAGCGAAGTCTATACTATTAGAGAGAGAAAAAAACTCGTTCACAAAAAGTCCATTCCATTTGTTTATGGGACCTCAGACACAACACTTACACATCCTGCGTGAAGGTAATTCTTTTTGAAGAACTTCACTTCAACTCCCACCCGAGGGATAGATAATATTGGGTAAAATGTACAACCAAAGCAAACTCATCATAAAAGATCTCTATCTCGCACAACAGATTGCCTTTCTTGAGAAAGGAAGTGGAGAGAAAATACGAAACATAGAAATACACAAATGTCATAAGATGGTCAAAACAGCCTTGGACCACCCCAAAACCTACAGAAGACTACGTCACTGTTCAAATGTTTAGGTACTCCCGCCGCAAATTTTAAAGGTTCCATTCAATTAGCGGTAGAGCGCGCGCATGATTACAGGTTACGGCATTTTCCCTTCGTTAATGAAACAAAGAATTAATCGCTTAACGCTCATATCGTTAGCTCAAATACCTTTCTAGTATTGTGTCTTCAAAGATTCTTGGATTAGACCACCTGGTAAGCTCCTTTATATATCTCAGTGATCCCGCATTTTTAAGGGACCTTTCAGAGGTACGTTTCGAGTGGGCGCCAACACGAGAAGTCCAACAATCTAGTACGGGACCAGAGCTTGGATTAGGCAGAGACAGATAGAAGTGAGCCCAACGTCCACCCGTAACCCGGAAAANAAAATCCTACCCACAGCGGGTGGAATGCAATTCAGAGTGGCGTTGCCATTCGTAAAATAAATAACATAACTTTCTTCTGAAATAGTTCAAGACAGGACTGACGAACATTACTGCTGCAGGGAATCAGGAGTCCTGAACATACCAGGTATGGGACGCATAATGGGTGTTAAATATCTGTGAGATTGAGACATTTTTTACAAAATTGTAAATGTCCATTTCAGTGCGACTCAGAGACCAGAAAAAATGATTAGGTTCTCTCTTATGGTATGGAAGTGAGGCTGAGGGTACTTGCAAGCGGCCACTCTCAAGATGGGCGAAAGTGACACAAAATTCATAAATCGCTTACAAGATGATCTTAATTCTGTAAGAAACCGGAAACGGTTTCGAAAAAGTTCAGAAGCGATGATCTCCAAGGTGAACGGGATATGCTTCGGGTTGGGTGGGGCTGTGCGAGAAATAGCAGGAGCCATATAGTGGTACATCAAATCCTATCCTACTTATATAGTCGGCTAAGTGTGTCTGTTGGTGTTTGTGTGTGTGTCTGGCCGGAACTTCGTAACTCCTGCCCCCGTGGACCGAAAGCGTTCAGATTTAGTAGGAGTACAGGCGGTAGGATGGGAACACTTTTAGCGGGTGGCAGGACCGGACTCCACCCTAAAGGGGGCGGGGTTTGTGAGAAATAAATGTTTGACCGAAAATTCAGAACACGTGTCCTCGTAATCCTAGAGCACTCAAACTCGGTAGGAGTAGGGGCGGCAGGATAGGAACACTAATGGTTGGTGGCAGGACCTTCTCCGCCCACAATGGGTCGCGTTTGAGCGAAAATTCATAACTATTGTCTCCGTGGACCTAGAGCACTCAAACGTGGTGGGAGTAGGGGCGGCAGAATGGAAACACTTATGGTGAGCAGCAGGACATTCTCCACCCATATAAGGGCCGAGTTTGAGCGGAAATTCATAACTCCTGTCCCCATGGACCTAGAACGTTCTAATTTGGTAGGAGTTATGAGAACAGGATGGGAACACTTAGTATAGGTGGCAGGAAAGGACCTGGCCCACAGAGGCGGGGTTTGCGCAAAAATTGACAATTGGCCATAGGGCGTTCAATGTATTACAACTGCACGAAAATTTCACGGAGGTAGGATTCCTCAGCCCATCTGTCCTTTTTTTT